ATTCGTGAATAAATCGCACCATTGAGAGCCAATCAGATTGCAAGGATAACCAGTGATTTCAAAATGGATTTAATAAATATAACCAATTGATACCTCTGTAGATACACTTCTGAAAAAAACACCACTTTGTTGTTAAAAGATTATCACCCTTTAAAAATTGAAGAAACTTGCCCAGGATGTAAAACAAACCCGTTAATATTAGTATAAAGACTTTCTCTGACATGTTACCAAAAATCTTTGAACTTTCAAGTCTAATGTATTGGGTTCTACATGGTCAGAGACAGACATCAATTTAACACTGTTCACCATGTTCAAAATGCCGGCAAACCTAATGACAACTCAAAATAATATTGCCAGAAGGATACCTATTATTCAAGTCACTATTACAATAAAGTCTTGAGTTAGAATTTTGAGTCTGGCTTTCAAATTTATCAGGATTTTGAGCTAAGATCTCAAGTTAGGATTTCAAGCCTATCATGGTTAAGCTTTCAGTCTCACAAAAGCATGTCGAGAGCAGATACATTTCTTACAAATAATATTTAGTGGATATAATTCACCACTTAAGTTCTACAAAATTGTTTTACGGTGTGAAATTTTGTGTAAAGTTTGAAGTTGTACTACAAAAACAATTTTTGTCAGTCGCTGCGAATCACTTGAAACCAGGTTTTTATACCGGAAATTGAATAGTTAAGTGTATTCCACTAAAACTCTCTGAAATACACGAACGATCAAAGAGGTAAACTCGGCTGAAATTGACTCATGATTTAGTTAAAATCATTTGTAGGTCGAGAGAACAACAAGATTACGCGCCATTACAGCACCGAACCAAAACAACTCTCACAAATAAAACACTTGTTTGAATTTACTTATAGTGACTTTCCTTGCCATTTTTAAGCGAATAGAGACAAACTTGTGTAGATTAATCGTCGATGGAAGTGTAAAAAGGGCAAAGGTTCACGATTACCGCTAGTTCGCTCACGAAAATTGATCAACACGACGATTTCACCCGCTGCGAAAGCTTTCAGAGATAAGAAAATCCGGAACGCGCTAAGAACCAATCAGATTGCAGGATTTGTTACCGTGCCCTCTTGAAAAACAATAAGGAATTTCTCTGCATTGTCATTTAAGAGTCGATACAAATTACTCGTTTTTAAAAAGAACCATGCTTATTTTTAAGGAAGATTGCATGACGACCCCAAAGAGCGTCTGCCTAGGTATAGCGAATGATGTAAGGGGATTGTTACACGGCTCGGCGCATGTATAAGCATGCAGTAACTTGAGCCCATTTGAGTCAGCGAAATTTTTCTTTGAAAGTTGCGCGGTCGGTCGCGTCCACGCTCCGATAGAGGTGTTTCTCATCAGTATTGCTTTTGTATTTACCAACTCCAAAGCACCACTCAATTCCGAGGTTTATGAACCAATCGGGTGCGAGTAAATAACCGTGTGTGTGTCCAGAATAAATCGTTCAGCCCGAATAACAGTTCGATGTTCAATACTAAATTCGATCTTTCCTATACGTAAATCTGTTGACATCTTCCGCTTAATTTGGGCATCAGTCATTCCGCATACCCAAATGATAGTCTGTAACTGCTGAAAAACATGTCCCTCAGTAAGAATACGAAACAAGTTACTATACTGGCGCGAATGCTTGGGCATGCGCCGAACCGTGAAACCTCCGATCCCTTAACAGAGCCACGCACTAGCCATCAATTAGCATCGGAATCATTTCCTTTTTACACGCGTTGCTGCTGGATTCTAAGACCTTTAACAACCTCGCCTTAAAAAATGGTCTCTCGATTCTGTTTGAATAATCGATAAAAGATTTCGTTTGGATAGCCTTCGGGAACATCTCAGTAGAAACATTATCGATTTTTATAACAATAACGCCGTTGTCTCCTATCTTCAAGTGCTGATATATAGCTTGTTGTAGCTCGAAATTACACCATTGGCTTGAGAAGAAGGTCTTGGATATGACAGCAATTACTTTTCTACTCTTGCGAACGCTCTCTGTCATATTTACTACAAAATGCTCTCCTGGAACAAAATCTCGGTAGTGGACACAACACTTGTATTGAAACTCCTTCTCCAGGATTGGCAGAAGGGTTTCATCTACCCATTTTTGGTCATGCTGGTTGAATATTATGAAGGCGTCGTAATCAGCATCATCTGCAAACATAGGATATTTGAATGTAGAGAAAAAGCAATCACAGTCATATTTAAGAAAAACAAACTCAGATCACCATACGGAGTGGCCGTATAAAAAAATACAAAAACAAACAGACAGACAAGCTGGGACTACAGATTGTATGTAATATTTTGTAGCTTAAACTTTCAAATTTAATATTTCCCACCAAGTACTATTATTATCCTCTTACATGGCCCTTTTGGTCATAAATAGGGTTTGAGTTTTGCACTCTAGTCTTGAACTGGGCATGTTTTTTTCGAGCAAGCTACTCTCTTATCATTATATATCGATAGGACCATCAACAAAAGCTTCACAAATTATGTTTAGAGCAATTGTTCCAGCCGCAACGGTCATAAATAGGGAATTAAAATTTTTGTCAAGTCAAATAGGGTGAGAAAAATCGAAAATCGCAGATTTTGGTCATAAATATAGGATAAGGTTTTTGGGAAGCGGGCCGCACTAGGGCTTTCCACAAGTTGCTCGGCAACTTTTAGGAAACTTCTGGTATTTCGGGCAACTTTTTTTCATTTCGAGCAGCTTTTTGCATTCAGAGCAATTTCTAGTTTTCTATCAATTCTGAGAAATCGGAACAGCTTTTAATTGCTTAAATTGACCTTCCTGTCATATTTCAAAATGTGTTAGTAGACAATTTATTAACTTCCTGTGAAAAAGGAGCCAGATACCCCTCCCCCCTGCGGCAGATCATGAGTGTAAGATGTATGTAGCCGGGCTGCTAGGTCAGCGGTTTTTTTTAATTCAAAATGGCGGGCGAAGGACTCGAGTGTCTCAGGTGAAGAATTTTTACAAGATTAATATCAATATCGATGCGTAGTCTTTACGCATACAATTTTTGGTTTTAAATAAGGAAAAGGTATTTAGCAACGCTGGTTACGCCGCAAAATTGTACAAAATGTTTAGAAATCTTAGTTTTGTTGTACTTTTGCATCAGACAAATAAAGGAAGAGAGCAACAAAACTTTTTTTTGTTTTTTTTTTGGAGTAACTTTTGAGTAACTTTCGTTACAAAAAGCAACTTTTGAGCAACTTTTGAGCAACCTTTTGGGAAATCTCGCGCAACTTGTGGAAAGCCCTCGGCCGCACACCCAGACCCAATGTTTCTGGGAGTACCCCCATCCCCCCCAGTTATTATCTGGTCAGATCATAGTCTCCTGTTCCCAAATAGTGTTGTGTCCTTGTGTAAATATTTCAACCCAACTGTGGATGAAGTGTATTGTCAGTATTAACAAGCAAACGAAATGAACTTGTTTGTATTGATATCGAATTTGAAACTTAAAACGCACTTCATTAACACGGGCACAAACCTATTGACAAGTCACGGTTATCCCTTTTTCTTTTGCGGAGAAAAAGATAAGTCCCCGAGATAACAGATACCAGGACTACAACGATTCCTATGACAGTCAGCAGCACTACTGATAAAGGAACAAAAACAAAGGGTTATTAAATCCAGAGTATTATTTTTTCATCTACATAACTATATTATTATTTATACCATGTCATAGAAAATACAGCCAATCAGAATACAGGAAATCCTTGTAAATTCGGCGGTATTACATCCGACCTTCCCATCACTAGCCGCGCGGCCTAAGTTGGCCACTGTATCTTCTATGGCATGGTATAAAATAGTTATGCAACGCTCTCTCGTGGGATACCGTGGAATATTCCACTTGTCACTTGTATTTTCTTGGTATACACACTCACCTAAAGGCTTGTGTGTATACCAAGAAAAAAAAGTTACTCGTGGGATATCCCATGATATCGAGGCTGCGTCTTGTGAGTCCACAACATTTTGACCACTGTGATGACGTATATCATTGTCGATCAGAGTACAGACAACGCTAAACCACATTGGATTTGTTTAATATACACACATGGACCTAAGTAATTATTACATGCACACAAGACATAAAATAAATACAATTAATTCCTGGTTTTCACTCACGGGATCAACAGCCGTGTTTTCTCACCGAAACAAAGAAAAGATTTACATAAAAATAGAGTTTAATTTCCAGAGGTTAAATTTTGGGCTCCAACATGGCCGTCGTTTCTTTGTTTAGGGGCTCCAACATTGCCGCCGTGACGTCAGGTGAAAACCAAGAAATTGATTCTTTACGGAAGCCCGTTTGCTGATATTGTGTTAGATACACGCTCTAACAGACATGACAGATAAAAACTTCAACTTCCTGGCTATATTACCTGTACTGCGTATTTGATTTGTAGTGGGCACAGTGGCTGAAATGAGTAAACCAATCAATCAATCAATATACATCTTTTTATGTATTAATATATATCTTTTTAAATACAAATCCTACTGCCATCTAAATAATTTTTACACAAGCAAGATATAAAATAAATATGTATAGGCAAAGGTATGAATGCGAGTTCAATTAAGCAGTTTACACTAGCCACAAGTGATATTTTAAATTCTCTCAAAATTTGAACGAATTTTCAAATATCACGAGTAGTGTAAATCTTTAACTGCGCGAGCTTTCATACGATTACTCATTTATTATATGATTGATAAAATTAGTATACGAACACGTGTCCGTTAATTTGCACTGCAGTGTAAATTAAGAATTAATGATAAATTGGCCAGTTCTCAGCCAATCACGATATGAAGTAATATTTCAGTAAAAATAATAAAATACATTAACTAAATGCATATAGGTCATCGTACCAGTTGAGAGTGTAATTAAGGATTTACACTACGAGCGATATTTAAATTCTCTCCAAAGTACACTAAGTATTTTCAAATTTCCTGAATAGTATAAATCCTAAATTGCTCGAGCTTTCATACAATCACCCTTTTATTATATGGCTGGAAAAATTACAAAAGCGCGCCCATTAATTCGCAAATTAGAAATAAACGATTAATCTGGCTGCTCTCAGCCAATCACAGTGAATTAATTTTGTCGGTGACATTATAAAATATGTAATTTGTACAGCTTAAAAATTACATTTTTCAATCTGATCATTGGTGAAAGTATCCCTCTATGACTGATATTAAAACAACGAATTCGTGCTTGGTTTGGATCAAAAATAGCCCAGAAATTGGCAATTATGTGCAACGCACCATACGTGGTTTGTAATAGCGTGTCCAGAAGTGTAATGTTGATATTTATGTAAATCTCTTGTCTAGCTTGAAAATAAAACTAAACTACGCATCTGAAATTTGGCAGACAGAAAAAGAAAAAGATAAGTCGCCGAGATAACAGATACCAGGACTACAGTGATTCTATGACAGTCAGCGGAACTACTGATTAAGGAACAAAAACAAAGAGTAATTGAATCCAGAGTATTATTTTTTCATCTACATAACTATATCATTATTTATACCATGCCATAGAAAATACAGCCAGTCAGAATACAGGAAATCCGTTGTATATTCGGCGGTATCACATCCAACCTTCCCATCACTAGCCACGCGGCGTATGTTGGCCACTGTATTTTCTATGGCATGGTATAAAATAGTTATGCAACGCTCTCTCGTGAGATACCATGGAATATCCCACTTCCCACTTGTATTTTCTTAATATACACATTCGCCTAAAGGTTCGTGTGTATAACAAAAAACCACAAATTACCCGTGGGATATCTCATGATACCGAGGCTGCGCCTCGTGAGTCCACAACATTTTGACCACTGTGATGAGGCATATCGTTGTCGATAAGAGTACAGACAACGCTAGACCACATTCGATTCGTTAATTTTACGATAACTGCAGAAATTTTCGCGCGCCTATTCACTAATTTTTATCGTCAATAAGCAAACAGACACATGAATTTATAATCTATGCGATGCGTCAACGAGCGAGAGTGGACAATTTGACAATCAAATTGATGTCAGTTTTTAATGCGTCTGTCCTGTTATTGACAATGGATTTCGTCATAACATTGTCAAAGTATGTCTGCGGATCCACTCGGCTATCGCCTTGTGGATCCAGGGCTGCTTTGACAATGTTATGACGAAATTCATGATCAATAACAGGACTGACGCATGACAAACTGACGTCAATTTGTTAAATATACACACATGGACCTAAGTAATTATTACATGCGCACAAGACATAAAATAAATATAATTAATTGTAAACTGATTCTTAACGAAAGCCCGTTTACTGATATTATGTTAGATACACGCTCTAACAGACATGACAGATAAAAACTTCAACTTCCTGGCTATATTACCTGTACTGCGTATTTGATTTGTAGTGGGCACAGTGGCTGAAATGAATAAACCAATCAATCAATAAACATCTTTTTATGTATTAATATATATCTTTTTAAATACAAATCCTACTGCCACCTAAATAATTGTTACACAAGAAAGATATAAAATAAATAAGTATAGGTAAAGGTATGAATGCGAGTTCAACTAAGCAGTTTACACTAGCTACAAGTGATATTTGAAAATTCTCTCAAAATTTGAACGAATTTTCAAATATCACGAGTAGTGTAAATCTTTAACTGCGCGAGCTTTCATACGATTACTCATTTATCATATGATTGAGAAAATTACGAACACGCGCCCGTAAATTTGCAGTGCAGTGCAGATTAAGAATTAATGATAAATTGGCCAGTTCTCAGCCAATCATGGTGAAGTAATATTTCAGTAAAAATAATAAAATACATTAACCAAATGTATATAGGTCATCGTACCAATTGAGAGTGGAATTAAGGATGCATCTCTATACTGTACTTATGTGATTAAAAACCATAGCTCAGAATATTTGATGATGGCCTTGAGAAACGTTTGGTTATCCGCTAGCTTAAGATTGCTAAACAGAGGGTGGTCAGAATTTATTCTTCATTTTATGCTCTTGCATAGCTCACCTGTGATTTCCGGTGTTGTCGATGACATATAAAACCAAGGTAGATCTGAAAAAAAAAGTAAGAAAAAGGTTTACTTATTTCCTTGAATGAGAAGCAGTACAGTGAACCTCGTTTCGAAGCTTGGTGACTTATCATGCCGGCACTCTTCCCGTTCTCGTGCTCGTTTCCATTCCCCTTCTTTTCTCTATTGAGAGTCCAAGTTTCTATTGTTGTACATTTGAGTGCCTTATCACAATCAAATACTTGTGTCCCAAAAGAAACTAGCGCCCATCCCTAATATGAAGTACTCTTTCTCAAAGTAACCGCCCTCTATTGAGCTATCGAAAATACCTTTTAGCGTCCTGGGCTCTAAATTGAGCAATTACGGTTCTTAAGACAATTTTTGCGTTTCTATACTTCGATTCTTTCTAGAACTGCGAAGTTTTGATCAGGAGCACCAATAACAGCTTGATAAAAAATTCGATTCTGCTAAAACTCACCGAAAATTTTGTATAGGAAAACAAGGATTAGTCATCCTTTCGTATTGATTTTTAATTCTCCAACGAAAATCGATAAAAATAGTCTAAGTATTAAAAGATTCTTCATCGATTTCAGAGTTTTTTCTCAGTTGCGTGAAAATATAATCTTTCTATCTGTATCAAATATATAATATCAGTGACTAAAAAAGAGCAGATTAATCACTTTTCTCACTTGTTACTCTTTTTTAAATAATTAATGGGCACTACTAAAGCTGCACGTAGCTTAGGTGACCCAAGAACACGCTGTATCGTAAAAAAGGGGGTACCTTTCCATTCCAAGAACGAGAGGACAAGAAGGAAAACCAGCTAAAAGCTACAAAATAATGTTTACATACTTGTCCTCTATGGATAGTAAATTTCTTTAGGAGTGCCTTTAGCTTTAAGGACAACTCGCCTTTAATTTTAGAATTCTACTCTATCAGCGCAGGCTTACCTCTAAGTCCGAAGTAAGGGGAACATGGAAGTACGAATACCTTTTGTCAGCAAGGAAGAATAAATAAATAAATAAATAAATAAATAAATAAATAA